TTATAACTGAGTACTACCTGCTGGGGTCCACCCTGACCCGCTGTGGTAGAACCTTTTAGGGTCCCAGCTATGTGCAAATAGTTAACCCACCAAACTGGAGTCAAAACACTATGAAAGCGTAAATATTTTTTGTTACCAGCAATATATTTTTGGGAAAAAAGTACCAGCAATAAAAATCTTTAATTTAAGGTTGATATGACGTAAAACAAAACAAACTACCTGTCGCATGGCCGGGTCATCAACAACTAAATCTGCTCCCCTATGAGGCTTTTCTGATGAGGAGGGTGGCCAGACAACCAGCGGGATTAAAAACAAAACTTGTCAAAGAGCAGATGAACCTTCAATGGTCAACGGGCATTTAGCACAATTGGGTAAAATGGGTTCCATAAATATGTATGCTGGCATGCGATGATGACACGGCATGGCCAGGTAGAGGGCTTCCTAAACTGAATTATAGGGGTCAGAGCAGAGTGTTCCGCCGTTGAAATCAACTGCAACGTGTCCAGGACCAAGGCGAATCTTCAAGTTGAAGGACTCAACTGTGGCTTGATCTGAGTAGATATGGACTCAACCAGGTCTTCTTCACTCAAGACGCGCGACGCATAAATAAAGAATTCTCCGGCATCCCTGGGCGGATTGAGCCGGCTTCTTCCTTCGTAGTCATGTGAGAAGAAGATTCTTGGGATAAATTACAGAAGTAGGGTACCCAGGCCTACTCGAATAACGTTCTTGCTTGCCGCGGGGTTCCCACAGACGCAGAGACAGGAACGACCAGAAGCCGCCGGTTGCCGATGCAGACGCTCCTTGGATTTTTTCTAAGAGCAGGTTTGAATTCAGAGTTTTCCTTCTCCTAGACTAGTTGCCATCCAAGGCTATAGAACCCAGTCTGTCCTACTATTTACCCATAGCTGGAGGGAGAAGAAGAGGATTCACACCTTTACCATATTAATGAATGTAATGGATTCGACTGGAATTCGAACTCGGCTCTCCGATTCCTCAATCCAAGCCGCTATCCATTACTCCACCGTGCTTCCTCACCCCGGTATATGGCGGTAACTGGTCAGATGCTCAGTTGCAAAGACAATTTTTACACGGACCGGACCGGCAGTGGGGAGTGTCAGATACGCGTATAACAAACACAATAAACAAGACCACGGTAGTCAATAAAATGTAAATAAAAAATAGTTTTATTCTTTCACTGCGGCCTGGTATTAGATGGTCCACAGCCCGGTACCAGACGTGGCCCTGTGTTTGGGGACCGCTGCTCTAAAAGACTTAGAGAGCACCGATATATATAAAAAAAAAACTTTAGAAAAAAAAAACTTGCAGAAAAATTCAACGTTAAACATTTTAATGACACACTAGAACAGAAATTGTCTGTGTCTAGGAAACGAAGTCAACCAATGAATTTGTTGCATGAAAATTCATCTCTCTGTTACAAATGCGACCCTGCAAACGACAATATAGCAAGCAGACATATTAGTCGATATATAGAAATTCCGATGCATAGAAAATGCTCCTTTCTTTTCCTTTTGCTAAAATAAGCTAATTTTAGTAAAAAAAAAAAAAAAAAAAAACAATAAAGAGGCCTTGTTAAGAAACAATGGTTAGCGAACTAAACTTCGTAAATTCATAACAAGACTGGAGTATTTAAAATAATTGAAATATGCTCAATCAAACTGAGAATTAAATTGTGTATATTACTGTTTAAGATCAATACACTAATTGGTAAACTCTAAGAGAACAGAAGCAATTCACATATTAATCAAGAAAATAGATTTCATATAAGAATTAATCAATAAACTAAATGGTCATATTCATATATTTTAATTTGAATTTAATGATGATGGCTTTTGACTTGAAATTGAATATTTAAGTGACAGGTGACGACAGTTACATGCAGGCGATGACGTCAGTGAGTAATTAAAAGATTTCATCGGCATAAGTCGCTGCAATTAACGAAAATATGATCATTAATTAAGAGAGCAATTTAATAATAATATAATAATAATAATAATGATACTATTACTACTACTACTACTAATAATAATAATAATAATAATCTGTTTTATTCTTCCTGCATCGGACCAATGGCTGCTAACTAGAAATTATTAAGCATATATACTGAAAAATTGTGTTGACCCTAAATTTAGATTCTGTGATAAATATCCTGAAATAATTGACCATCTTGTATCAGGTTGCACAGTGTTAGCACCAAGTGAATATAAAACTCGGCATGACAGAGCGGACCAATATCTGCACTGGAAAATATGCCACTTTTACGGGAAGGAAACTGCAAGAAACTGGTATCAGCCAGACCCGGTTACAGAGATAGATGACCTGGAACAATTTTATGGGATTTGACAATACACACAGACAGAACAACCAAAGCTAATCACCCACACATCGTGATCAGAGACCATAAGAATAGAATGTGCTTTCTTATTGAAATGGCAGTTCCTGCAGATTTTAATATATCTTTGAGAATCTTCAAAAAAAAAAACTATCAAAATAAAAAGATCTTGAAATGGAAATCTCAAAAGTGCGACACATGAGGACGACAATAATTCAAGTTGTAGTTGGAGCCCTCGGATTGATTGTAAAAGACTTAGATATATTTATTGAAGGGATTCCTGGTAGTCCATGTCTTAAAGAAATACAAAAAAAGTGTTCTCACAAGTACAGCTCATACGTTACGAAGTGTTTTATCTAAGATGTGTGTGATCTTAGGTGATTTTTTTGTTTTGCGTTTTGCAAAAAAGGATTAGTGTTATGAAAACATTTATGAGCTAACGTCTCTTTTTAGGACCTAGAAGGAAAGGTATATACAACAGAAATCCAAGGAAATAATAATAATAATAATAATAATAATAATAATAATAATAATAATAATAATAAATAATGTTATTAGAGACAGCAAACAAAAAAGTGTCTCCTCATTGATATGGCAGGCCCTGTGGACTGCAATGTATCTTTGAAGATCTTCAAAAAGCTATCAAAATACAAGGACCTTGAAATCGAAATGAAATCTCAAAAATGTGGCACATGAGAACATCAACAATCCCTGTTGTAGTTGGAGCCCTCAGACTGGTTGGAAAAGATTCCAGTAGACTAATTGAAGGGATTCCTGTAAGCCCTTTCCTTAAAGAAATACAAAAAAAATTGTTTTCACGAGTACAGCCCACAACTTACATAGGGCTTTATCTATGTAAAACCTTTTTTTTGTGAGTGGAAAATGTCATGATGCCATTTCTGACCTTAGGTCTCTGGGCGGGACCCGGAACGAAATATGTACACACCAAAAATCAAAGGAAAGAAAATAATAATAATAATAATAATAATAATAATAATAATAATAATAATAATGAAGTTCTAGAAGATGTCAATACTCTTCCAGTCAACAATTTCGGACATTTAAATGGACGACGTATTTGATTTTAATATAAAATTTTCGACGATGAGTTTTGTACCATTCTTCGAAAAAATCAAAATACAAAACCGTAGAAAATTGAATAAATAAATACTTGGAATTATAAAAAATTTTAAAGAATGAACTTTCGTTGATTTTCAGTCTAACCTGAATATAACACCACACACACAAAACACACATAGATAGACCTTAAAGAATGATCCTCTCGTTGATTTTCAGTCTAACCTGAATATAACACCCACACACACAAAACACACATAGATAGATAGATAGATAGATAGATAGATAGATAGATAGATAGATAGATAGATAGATATTAAGCATTTGAAAAAATAGATAGATAGATAGATAGATAGATAGATATGAAGCATTTGAAAAGATAGATAGATAGATAGATAGATAGATAGATAGATAGATAGATAGATAGATATGAAGCATTTGAAAATATAGATAGATAGATATATAGATAGATAGATATGAACCGTTTGAAAAGATAGATAGATAGATAGATAGATAGATATGAACCGTTTGAAAATATACATAGATAGATAGATAGATAGATAGATAGATAGATAGATATGAACCGTTTGAAAAGATAGATAGATAGATAGATATGAACCGTTTGAAAATATACATAGATAGATAGATAGATAGATAGATAGATAGATAGATAGATAGATATGAAGCATTTGAAAATATAGATAGATCGATAGATAGATAGATAGATAGATAGATAGATAGATATGAACCGTTTGAAAATATAGATAGATAGATAGATAGATAGATAGATAGATAGATAGATAGATAGATAGATAGATAGATAGATATTAGGTAAATTAATGACGTACTTGAAAAAAAATTCTGTATGATGCGTTTCGTCCTTTAGGACTTAATTGGACGAAAGCAATACTTTTATTGATGTAATTATATATGCGCATGAAGAGGAGGGGAACATAAGAACTCAAACGTTGGTTATAATTATGAGCAGACAGAAAACGATGTAAATATTGGAAAAGTAGAAATTTTAAACTTTAAATTTATTTATTTTAGTGTCTGGGCATGTAGTCTAGCTAATTTAATTCGGTTTTACTCTAGGGGTTCATTGTTAGAATATTTGTCTGTGTCTATTCTAAGCCGTGTTGTATAGAAATAGTAGTAATTTCATGTTGAGGAACCTTCAAAATACTCCTAATACGCAGCGACTAGTTTCAAAGCAAGTAATATTGTGTATAGGTACTTATTCTTTTTATTAAAAAAAAAAGTGCTTCCATTATCTTTAAACATCTTTTACAATTAGATGCGTTTAAAATAACGGTATTACCTAAAGTGATTTTTATTGGAGCTAGAAGTTGGATATGAGTGTTTATGTGCTTCTTTATCGAACAAAAACTTCTTAAGTGGATAGACATCCGTCTGTTTAATGTGCTTGTCGTGTTGACCAATGTTTCTATATGATGATTTCTTTATTACAAGGGTCGCAACCGTTGGCAATCTGATGGTTGGATTTCATATATATGAATACAATTATACAAATAATATATGGATATATTATTTGTATATCAATTTGTTCTTAGATAGATAGATAGATAGATAGATAGATAGATAGATAGATAGATAGATAGATAGATAGATAGATAGATATGAACCGTTTGAAAAAGATAGATAGATAGATAGATAGATAGATAGATAGATAGATAGATAGATAGATAGATATGAACCGTTTGAAAAAGATAGATAGATAGATAGATAGATAGATATGAACCGTTTGAAAAAGATAGATAGATAGATAGATATGAACCGTTTGAAAAAGATAGATAGATAGATAGATAGATAGATAGATAGATAGATAGATAGATAGATAGATAGATAAACCGTTTGAAAAGATAGGTAGATAGATAGATATGTCAAAATAATGAAACTGTAAACGATAGATAGATAGATAGATAGATAGATAGATAGATAGATAGATAGATATTTAAATTAAATACTTGTAAAAGAGATTTGAATACGCAAAAAAAACATTTTTATTTAGTTACCTCTTTACAGCCTGTTTTATGTAAAGCAAGTGTTCAAAATGGGCGCTTGTTTATTTTGGAAGCTATTGAAATCTATTGTTTTTTAACATTTACATTTCTTTCGTTTTTGGGGGTTTTTTTTTTTTTTTTTTTTTTTTTTTTGTTTATTTTTGGTTTTTTCTTTCGGTGAATTCGAAGCAATTTACTTTACTTTTACTTATTAAAGCATTCACGTTCTTAAATTCTATAATTTCCAGTTCTCCCTCATGCAGAGACTGCAATTTCTGCGTTTGTTTCTTTTACTCTATTTTATTATATAGCATTGTATTAACGGTGTTTTCGGTTTCATTTTTGATAACATGGTGTTTTCTATATATCTTTCGTTTTTATCATTCAAATGAATGGTTGTCGTTGGTATGATTTGATCATTTTCTCGATGTTTTTCCTTTTTATCATTTTAAAGGGACGGAACTTATAGGTGTGTTAAAATAAAACTGAACGTTGAAATAAAATATGGAGGTCAGTACCCAAGTGAAATGAAGAAAAGTTGTTCGACTCTTCTATAAATAAAGAGACCAGATATGTAAATTAAAGTTGTTAAAGTTCCCCAAATGCACCCTACGAAAAAAATCATTTTTACAGCATAGATACATAGATACATGCATAGAAAAAGATAAATCAATTTGAACACACACACACATATATATATATATATATATATATATATATATATATATATATATATATAGAGAGAGAGAGAGAGAGAGAGAGAGAAAGACAAACAGATTAAAGTGGACATGAAGATGAGATAGATAGATAGATAGATAGATAGATAGATAGATAGATAGATAGATAGATATGAACAGTTTGAAAATAGAGATAGATAAATATGAACAATTTAAAAAATAGATAGATACATATGAACCGTTTGGAAATAGATAGATAGATAGATAGATAGATAGATAGATAGATAGATAGATAGATAGATAGATATGGACCGTTAGAAAATAGAGATAGATAAATATGAACAATTTGAAAATAGATAGATAGATAGACAGACAGACAGAGAGACAGACAGACAGATAGCTAGATAGATATGAACCGTTTGAAAAGATAGATAGATAGATAGATAGATAGATAGATAGATAGATAGATAGATAGATAGATAGATATGAACCGTTTGAAAAGATAGATAGATAGATAGATAGATAGATAGATAGATAGATATGATAAAATGATTGATATGAAATGCTTGTGTAAAATATGAGATAGAATTTGCGAAAACAAATTAGATGTTTAATTTTTTTTCTTATTCTGTCAACGTTTCTGTAAAAATCATCCTGAGAACAACTGAAAAATTTAAAGAAAAATCGTCACCACGAAAGACTTGCGACTTAAAAACGCTGTGGTTAATTTGAAAAAATCTTAACAGTTAATAAAATTTAAAAATAAATATCTGTGACGAAATCAACGAAATGTGTACATAGTAAATATTTTAAAATAAAATGTAAATATGGTGATTTGATATCGGAATATAAGAGAAAGTTAAGGCAAGAAAAATCAATAATTATGAACAGACTGAGATATATATGAAATTAATAAGGCACACACTCACCCACATATATATATATATATATAGAGAGAGAGAGAGATAGAAGGAGAGACAAAGACAGAGAGAGAGATAGTAACAGGCTGCTAAGGATAAAGTAAGGTGGAGTTGAAAAGAATGAAATATTTGAAGATATATCAGCTGGCTAGCTAACGAGCTAGCTAGCTAGATAGATAATGGACAGCCATATACATATATATCCATATATATATATATATATATATATATGGCTGTCCATTATATATATATATATATATAAAAAAGAGAGAGAGAGAGAGAGAGATAATGAACAGCCATATATATATATATATATATATATATATATATATATATATATATATATATATATATATATATATCTTCAAATATTTCATTCTGTTCATCTCCACCTTACTTTATCTATCTATCTGTCTTACTTTATCTATCCGTCTGTCAGTCTATCTATCTTCCTTCTATCTATCTATCTATCTATCTATCTATCTATCTATCTATCTATATATCTGTCTGTCTATCTATCTATATATATATATAGAGAGAGAGAGATAGACAGATAGATAGATAATGAAGAGACTTAGATAATGAAGAGATTTAGATAGATAGATAGATAGATAGATAGGAAGGAAGGAAGGAAGGAAGTGACTTTTCGTTTGTTTCTTGTAAAAATATTTTTAACATTGTAAAAACTCAATGGGGGAAATTTGAAAGAAAATATTTTTATAATTTCTATCGCAAAAATTTTACATATTGCACAAGTTAGAACTTTATAGGAGAATTGCAATACTGTGGTGTCTGTGATTGTGATTGAGGTGTAAATAGGCCAGTGATTTTGACTAGCTGAGGTGGCACGACGTATAGCGGCTCGGCTTGAGGAATCGGAGAGCAGAGTTCGAATTCCTAGTCGAATCCTTTACATTCACAAACGGGCTAATACCATTGGGAAAGGTATGCATCCTATTCTTAGAGCTCCCACCACCACCAGCAGCTATAGCAGAACAGATCGGGTTCTATAGTCTGGATGACAACGGGCTTACCGCAGAAAGAAATGGCAACCTACTGCGGGAAAAAAAAATCGGCCTCGTCAGTCATATATCGAAAGATACATGATCGCCTAAGCGTGTATCAGACATAACTGACTGAGTTTAAAATATTAGGCATTGAAGACCAAGTTTTCCCATCCGCCTTTCAGGCCTTGTGCCACTTCTTTTCTTTTCTTTTCTGTTATTGAAAAATAAATACCTATTTGAAACGCTAAAATCTACGTAGACTGAAAACCCGTGACCAAAACAACAAAGCCAAAAGCTGTTTGCATTCATTTTACACTACTTTGTTAAAGGCAGGAATCAAAGCATCCCTGGATTTCCTGTTCGCTTTATTTTTCATATGCCATGATAGAATAGTCTTAATCAAAACTTAAAACCGTATATTTTCAAAAGATTGTGCAGTGCCAATCTTTAGAGGATGTGGCATAAGAATTTATTAGAAAGCCAAATGCGTAGTAAGGACATCAGCTTTAGATAATAAAATAAAGCTCAAATAGGTTACTATTAATTAGCATCACTGAAACTACACAAATTTTGAAAATATTGGCGCTACATAGTCTTTCCTGAAAATATTATTATAAGGTTTATAGATTTATAGAACAATGTGTAGAACACAATACCGAACAATTTATAAAACAATGTATAGAATACAATATTGGCGCTACACTGTCTTTCCTGAAAATATTATTGTAAGGTTAGATTATCTGTGGAGTAATGGATAGCAGCTAAGATTGAGGAACTGGAGGGCCGATTTCGAATTCCAGTTGAATCCATTATATTTACTTATGTGCTAATATCCTTGAGAAAGGAATGAATCCTATTTCCCCCCCCCCAGCTATGGGTAAATAGCAGGACAGATCGGGTTCTATAGCCTTGGATGACAATTGAGCTACCGCAGAAAGAAATGGCAACCGACTGCGGGGAAAAAAAATCTGTCTCATCACTCATTTATCGAAAGATACATGATCGCCTAAGCGTGTATCACGTATGGCACATAACTGACTGAACAATGTCTATGCATAGAATTGTTTTATTATGCAAAATAAAGGACCAGTTCGAAATACCAGTTGAGACTGTGTTAATTGATCGTAGCCATGATATGAAAAATATTGAAATGATCCTCAAGAAGAGATGAAAAGGAAACATCGATTAAGACTTGGATAAAACGGACAGACTCGACCAGAGAGGACGGATACGATGTGACGGAAAAATGTCGTCAGTTTTCTTTGTTCCTTCGAAAACGATGGAGTTGCATGATAATTGATGGCGTTAACGAGAATAAGGAACCGTCAATCGGTGGCAGAACGCCATGCAATCTTGTCATTCTGTCTTTACTGTCATTAATAATATGGCCTGTCTTCATTAGACTGTTTACTTCTTTCGTCAGGGACAATCAACCCGCTGTTTATTTACGCGCATCCAAGGAGCGGTGTTCCTATGAACTTATCAACAGCCATGAGAGAATTAAATCTACCTTCTTAGAACAATCAGTTCACATCCCCTGGGAGACGTTTACCAGGCGAGGTCTCGTCTGGTATACAATAAACATAGAGATCATTAGCAACGGCTTGTGAGTCGTAGGACGCATGGTGAGGAATGAATATATATATATATATATATATATATATGTGTGTGTGTGTGTATAAATATATATATATATATGAACAGTATTTACATACATAATACCTCATCTCAAAAATATAGACAGACTCTGTATATATATGAGACTAGCTAAATATCGCAAGCGTCTATACTTGGATAGATAGATAGATAGATAGATAGATAGATAGATAGATAGATAGATAGATAGATATTAACAGACTGAGATAGATAGATAGATAGATATCAACAGACTGAGATAGATAGATAGATAGATAGATAGATAGATAGATAGATAGATAGATAGATAGATATTAACAAACTCGCATCAACCCACAATTGGCTAAACGTGATGGGTACCGCTACACTACTGAAGACATGGTCAATCATCGAGTGGTTCCTTCAAGAAGACTAACTAAGCCATGAATTTAGATAGAAGTTATCTTGCGAAGTACAGATCTAATGTAGGCGTACATAGACACAATCAATGAAAAATATAGTTTAACACTGGGCTACAGATAGGTACCAACTGAGGATTGTCCCCCTGAAAGAACTTCCCTTAAAATAAATTTGCTAACAATAGTCAGGTGTCCCTTGGTATGTTCCACGCCAAACATAATCTAACATCGGGCTACAAATAGGCATAACTTCCTAACCATCTTTTTATTAAAATAATCTTATTTTCTCTTATATAGTCTATCAATCATGCTTTAGCAAAATTAAAATGCAACCAAAAAGAAACATTACAAAATTGTTGTTTGTTCTTGATTAATGTAATTGTCAGTAATTTGAACTTGAAAATCGTAAGTTCGATCCACACATAGTCAACTAAGGTAAACTTACTTTTTTTTTCAAGCTATGTCTCTTTAGAATGAAGGCGATCATGGCTCTCCACAGATTTCTTTTCATTATTATCGGCGAATTGACATTTTTTGAGATAGATGATGGAATAGTTTTTTGTTGCTTTCCCAGCGGTTTTTAAATATTTCTTCCTTCAGGAAATAGGGGATTCTTTTATTTAGTAACTTGGAATTAACATGAAAGAGGGTGGAGTGGCTTCCCGTTACTGTCAGGATGGTCTTTCTCTTAGGCTGGCTAACAACCAAGGCTAGAGAGGCCGGTGGCCGAAGGAAAAAGAAATAGATTGATCCCTTGACAATAAGCAACTACCGACTCTAAAAAGGGATTCTCAGCTCAGGAGAAATCTTTAGATCACCTACTTTGATTTCAGTGTCTATGAAAGTTTAATCTAGTCTGGCACACAGACTCAAAAGTGGAGCGTTCACTGAGAATCGAAATCGCTCCAAGAGCAATATTTTATGAAATCTGTTTGTTTACGTCAAATAACCATTCTCTGAATCTTATATGGGTTATTCTCACATAAAATTCTATTTTATAAATCCTGAGGGAAAAGAAGCAAAGTTTGAGTCATTCTAATTTTAGTAATCAAAAAGTTGTTTTTTTTTTTCATTTAATGAAAAAATATTTCCCTCTAAGACTACCAGATCTAAGGGAGAAGTGGTTGTGGATAGCCATGATTGCGTACGTTCTGAAAGGACACGTCACGTAGAAGGAGTCTTAGATATTTTCCACTCTGAAATTGTTAAGACGATCTTCGAAAATTTTGCATTTGGCATTATAAAACTCTCTCTCTCTCTCTCTCTCTCTCTCTCTCTCTCTCTCTCTGATGTTAAGTATGTCTTCTTTGTCTTTCCATTTTCTCTAAAACTTGTCGTTACTCACATTTCGGTCCATGGTATCCTCGGCATCTTTCTGTCGAAAAACATTTCTGTTGCTTCATGTCTTCTTCATCTTTGAGGAAATTGTCCAGCAGTTATTGCCATATAGGAGAACAGATGTGCCATAACAGTTCAGTATTCTTTTCTTTGTTTCTAATTTTTTTTCTATTTCTTAATACTATGCTTAACTTTTAGAAGGCATCTTTGGCCATCCCAATACCTCTTCAGGTTTCAGTGTCGCGCTTTTCGTCCTCTGTTAAAAGATATTTAAATTTTTGTACCTGTTTGTTTTTGGTATCTCCGATTTGTAATTTGCATTTTGGGCTGCCCATTTTGCTAGCAACCATCAGGCTTATTCAACCTTTGCAGCGAGCCAAACCGGAGAAAATAAGTCCTAACAGGATTAGTATTGGCGGCCACAATCTTAACAACGTAAGATATGCAGATGACACAGTGTTGATAGAAGACACGGAAAGAAAAGAGCCAAAAAAACTCCTACAGGAGGAAGTAAAGGAAAGGATTAAACATCACCTGCAAGAAGACAGATTGCATAGTGGAGGCAAAACCCACTTAAAAATCACTACGTAACAGAGCGAAACAAAAGAAAGCGATTTGTTACGATATTTGTCACAATTAAAGAACCATCTCTTCATTTTAATAAGAACGGAAGGAAAAACAGGTTTAACGCAATCAGCATCACTTGCTAATTGAGGAGATAAATAGATGTTTCTGACATAGATATGGTGTGAACTTCAGAGTAAGTTAAAGAGGGGATAACGTTTAATATAAGGAAATCACCTACAATGTTCACAAATAGGTCAAAACCCAAACTAAAAATAAATCTTGAAAAGCAATGGTCGGAACAGCGTGAATAAACAAGAAATGTTGCGAGTGGCGTAGTCTGGAACGAAAAGACTGGCAACGCCCAAGATTAAAAACAGTTACTTTGATCACGGTTACAGACGGTTCAAAAAGACAGGAGATCTTATTAACTACATCTCTGTAGGTTGTACGACAAATGCATCCGATGCTAAATATACCCAGTTACCATACTGTACGATTAACCGGTATTTTGAGGATTGACAAGTGCTGCGAGTGCGTGTCTGGTAGAACTGATGAAGGCTTCATTCTACGAAGCAAGCAGCAACGTGTCAATCAGGATTAGTCATCCAAACATCAAACTGAAGCAACCGAAAGATGCGGAATTTGCCAACTGTTTCAGACAATGTTTCCAGATTAAACGTATGTCATATCATGACACCAAAAACTGTCGGATTCTGAAGCGACAAAGACCTGGAGATAGAAAAACAGGTTAATATGGAATGGCAATTTCACAATTATAGTCCAACGTTGTAAGAGTATGTAAAAGATTTTTAAGAAAAGTTTTGGCACTAAATAACAGAATATTGAAGAATTTTTGCATATCATTAATAATTTTTTTGGGAACAGATTGCGTTGCATTGTAGTACTACTGAACATTTTTTCGAATATGAATATAAACAAATACTAGTTTGACCAGAGAGTCCTGATTCACTTAGAAAACGGAAAGAAAACAACAAATCTTGGTTTCTGTCTGACGGAATTTCCAAGGTGTACAGCATTTCGAGATTGTTCCACACATCAGCGCTAATCTCTATTGCCAGCAACTAGATCTCGTGTACGATAAACTAAAGAAGTATCTGCTTTGGTCAATCGAGGTCGTGCTTTGTTTCAGCAAGAGAATGTGAGGCCACATACTGCCAGGTTGACTGAGGAGAAGTTTAAACATATGGACGGTATTAAGATTCTTCCATATCCACCATTCAGTTCCGATTCTGCTCCGAGTGACTATGGTCTATTCCACTCAATGGCACACTTCCTCCGCGAGCAGAGATTCAACAATTTTGATAAAGTAAAGGAAGCTTGTTTACAGGATTTTTTATTTAAAGCCAACGAACTGGAATCTGAGACAGAATTGTACGTTGGCTGATCACTGGCAGAAGATTGTCGATAATGATGGACTTCATTTTGAAGAATAAATGTTGCTGTTGCCCCATACAATTTTTTTGTTTTCTTTCCGTTTCCTAAGTGAGTCAGGACTTTCTAGCCAACCTAATAGTTGGATGTTTAATTTTTTTATTTTATTCTGTCAACGTTTCGTTCTGCAAAAGCATTCACAGAACAACTAAAAAAAGAAAAGAAAAATAGCTAACATGGAAATCTTACGACTTAGAAACGCTGGGGTTAATTTTAAAAAACAATCATTTGAAAAAAATTAAAAAATAAGTATCTATGAACAAATTAATGAGTTTTGTACATAGGAAAAACGTTAAAATAAGGTATATATATATATGTGTGTGTGCGTGCGCGCGCACGCGTGTGTGTGTGTGTAAAAAGTTTCAGATAGAGTATATTTGTAAAAGGACAATATGAAAAAAAAAACGAAAGAAAACTGATTTTAGCCTACGCGCTTCGGCTTCTGAGGGACTTTATCAAGGAAAATGATATTTGCCTAATAAAGTCCCTCAGAGGACAAAACGCGTAGGCTAAGATAAGTTTTTCTTTTTTCACACACACATATATATATTAATTACTTTAAACGTTACTTATGGTAATATATAAAATGGAGCGTCTATTCAAAAATATGAATCCACTAAAAATATCATTTAAAGTAATATATATATATATATTCATATTTTTGAATAGACGCTCCATTTATTTCAAACAGTATTTTATTTTACCTACCGACTTAAACATTCGAGAAATCTTATTAAAGAAAATTCGCCCTCCGGCAGGTTTCGAACCTGCTTCACTCTTTGCAGGAAAGATTGTCGTTAGATTCGACATGCTTCAACCACTCAGCTACAAGTTTTATTTAATAAGATTTCTCGAATGTTCAGATCACTATACAAAAATAAAATCCTGTTTAAAATAAACGGAACCTAAGAACAAATCTAAATTAAATTTAAAGATTATTTATCAAAAATATAATAACCTTAATTTTCAGCAACTGCTGTTTAACAGGAGCACACATTTTTGATTCCACGTTTAAAGAAATATTGGATTTTGCCAAGAAATGTTTTCAATACTTTTAACTTCTTTCTTAATGTTCTGCTACTTATGAAATTGTTCTTGTGATCGAAAAAATATTAAAATGTATTTGTTTGTTTTCTTTTTTTTTACGGTATATCAACCTCAATGGGTTATTTAATACCGACAAGATTTTTATTCCTGGTAACTTTTATTTCTTTATTTTCAAAAATGTATTACTGGTAATATTTTTTCTTCAAAAATGTCTTGCTGACAATAATGTATTGCTGGTAATAAAAAAAAATGTATTACTGGTAATATTTTTTTTTCTTCAAAAATTGTCTAGTAATATTTTTCTTGAAAATGTATTGCTGGTAATAATTATTTCAAAAAATGTATTACTGGTAATATTTTTTCTTCAAAATTGTCTTGCTGGCAATAATGTATTGCTGGTAATAATTATTTAAAAAAATGTATTACTGGTAATATTTTTTCTTCAAAAATGTCTTGCTGGCAATAATGTATTGCTGGTAATAATTATTTTAAAAAATGTTTTACTATTAATGTTTTCCTTCAAAAATATATTGATGGCAATATCTATTTTCTTCAAAACTGTATTGCTGGTTTGGTTTGTTTTACGGCATACCTACCTCAATGGATTATATAATGCCGACAAAATTTTTATTTCTGGTAATATTTTTCCATCAAAAATGTATATCTGGTAATATCTTTTTTCAAAAATGTATTTCTGGTAATTTTTTTTTTACAAAGTATTTCTGGTATTAAAACCTACTGTTACACTTACATAGTGTTTTGACCCCGGTTTAGAGGGGAAACTATTTGCCCATAGTTGGGACCCTAACAGGTGCTACCAGCCCGGATCAAGGTGAACCGGGGAATACCAGCAATTAAGAGGTGGTTCCACGCTCTTCAAAACCTCCTGATGAGAGGCCTTGCTGCTGGACGTAGTTTATCGTCTTACCCAAATCGCGGATGTAGTTTATTGTCATACTCAAGACGGAGAAAAATATAGTTGTCCTAAATCTGATGTGTATGGATGATGTGAAAGAACCTTCCATACTAACGATCTCATTTTTTTCTTATATTTGTTTTGCAATGTGTGTCCTTGCATTGTTATGCTGCAGAATAACATTTTTTTTTATTTACTAAAGCAGGACACCTTCGATGTTATTCGTCGTTTACGTTGTTGGCAATAAACTCTGCCGAGGTGGTCCTTTATAGAAAAAATATTTTTATTATTTTTAAAATGTTAGCATTGTTATAATCGTCTGTTTTTTAATACACGTTCTTTTGAGAGAAGTGTATTTTTATGAAGACCAGACGGTTTGTGTTAAAAATTGCTACAATTGTATATACTTTTTCAGCTTAGCGGTTAAAACCCGCCAAAATTTTGAAGGATCCATATCCAGTTTATGGGAAATCATTTTTTCGTATATATTGACCAATGAGAGACGTGGTCTCTGGCTCGAATAACATCCCGAATAAAGTGAGCTCAATTGTTAAAAATAAATAGAGCTTAGATCAGTAGATACGGGAAGAAGACTTTTTGACAGCAAGAGGAGAAGGCAGGTCATCAACATCAAAGAAGACATTTGACATCAAGAAGAGAATATCAAGGAAGCCACCAGTTACGAGGCAACTGCGAAGAGACCAAAAGTTCAAGTGAAAATTCCCCTGTGGTTGGACAGCCAAGAATGAAAAGATTTCTAAGAAATTTTCCGAAGCAGGAACAGTGTGAAGTTAAAGGACTTTTTTCTTTTTTAACATTACTATGTCCCAAAGACGCTCGAGTGGCAAGTGAAAGTAGATATTTTCATTTTTTCGGAAAGGCTGTTGCACTTTTTTTTTTTTTTACTGCCTTCTTGCATTATTCTTCTCTCTTTGTCATTTTCACAATCCTTACCTTTTCCCAAGCTGTGATTTATTTCCCATTTTTCATTGGTAATCCTTTTATCTAAAATTGTTATCCTGCCTTAATAGGCAGAAAAAAAGGAAATTTTTGTACAAATTTTATTTGTACCTTTTTTCGTAATCGTGAATAATAAATGTGTTTTTGCTTTGAAAATTTTACGCAGTGGTTGTCGTATTTTGTAATTTTGCGCCTATTATTATGATTTGCTGTTTCTACTAATTTCTTGTGTTTGGCACAAAAGCTTGCATTTGGTAGGAATTAAATTTTTATGCCTTCCAGGAGTTCGTAATTTAGCATTTTTCATATTACACCAGATACAAAGTTACGACTTCTGATTTCGGCGCTGGAAACTGGTTTCGCATTTTGTGAAAACCACTTTTTCGTTTTCTGTTGCCATGCAAAATCCATTTTTCCATCACCTGTAACAATGCGATGCAAAATTGAAAATTCAGATATTCCCGGTTAAAAGAATAAAAGACTGCTGCAGATAATGGAACGTTACGAAACCCAAATTCCCCTTTATATAATTTTTCCCAATTAAACTCTGAAACATGAACGACACTGTGTTGAATAGAACTATTGTCTATAGAAAATTTCCTACCATTCAAACTTGATTTTGCCTTTATTGCTTGACTTATAATTCATAATACGTAATTACTTTCCGAACACCCTTTTAGAAGAGATGCTAAACTATTTCAAGACGCAGTTTTCTACTATTCAATACTGGTTCTGCTTTGATCGGTTGATTCATAATTCATAGTGATGCCGTGCGTAATTACTTTCTGAAAACTTTGATAAAAGAGACGATAAACTAATTCTAGACAATTCCCTACCATTGAATCTTGGATCTGCCTTGGTTGAGTGACACATAATTCATAGCGGTAAATTCCCGAACAACCTAATACATTATAGTATTATTCAAACCACTGTAGTAATGAATATTGCCACGATTTAAAGACGCCGTTTTAAGAAAACTTATTTCGTTCTCTCGAGAGAATTCTGGTGTGAAGTGATAAATAATAAATGTTGTAGATTCCTAGATTAAAATCTCCGATTTTCTCGATAGTCAACATTGTACAGTAATAAAAACAAATATTGATATCAATTTTCTTGCAATGTTTATAAATTTTCTTTTAAATTTTGTCAAATAAATATCACTGCTCTCAATTTTGCAAAACTTACGAATTAAGAAAAATCTTCCAGTATTGACTGCAGTTTCCAGTCAAATAAAGGAGTAAGCTGTAATTCCAGTTAAATAAAGGAGTAAACTTTTGCGTACTTAGTATGACTATATCTGGCACAAGGCCACAAGAGTATAACCCCCAGTCAGTGGAGATGGAACTATTTCCTTGGTTTATCTGACTAGTCTTCTCAACAATGTTCCACGGCGAAGTATTTATTTACGAAGCTACACGCAGTGGGGTAACGAACACACTGCAGTACAGATATAACCCGATTCCCGTACGATCACTGAAGTTTAAGCAACTTCGAGCCTGGTCTGTACTTAAATGGGTGACCGCTTGTGAATAGCAGGTACTGTACGTCTTGATGAAATCTGAGTGCTGAGTTCCAATTCCACTTGGGTTCATTATATTCATCCAAGTATGAATTTACTGCTTCATCAATCTATGAGTTAAATAGTAAGACTTGTGTTCACTAAACCATTAACATTTCCAAAAATAAAATAAAATTGTGTACAGAATATTTAGATTTCGGCATTAACTAATCCACAAATGGTTGATATGACGCTAAGCAAAAACACCCAACAGAATATAACATGACGTATAAGGTTTGTAATTGTCCAGAAAACTAACACGCTAAACATTACTCCAATGCGAAACATTCAAACGGTTATAGTGATTTTCCAAGCGTGGCACAAGGCTGAGAGTATGGGGTACCCAGTGAGGATCCATTCAAACAGTTATATACCGAGTCCTTATATAATAATAAACTACATCCGGCAGTAAGAGCTCTGATCGAAAGCTTTTGTGGTGCGTTGAAACGCGTCTTAATTGCTGTTGTTCCCGGGTCCACCCTGGAGTGGTAACACCTGTTAGCTATAGGCAAATAGTTAAACACCAAACTGGGGTCAAAATACTATGAAAGTATAAAAAAAATATAGTAAAAATACAGGCAATACATTTTCATAGTAAAGAAACAACCAGCAATACATTTCTGTCTGGAAAAAAAAAGAAATTAGTAATGCTCCTAAGAAAATTAACTTTCGGCATTAAATGACCCATAAGGAGTTGATATGCCGCTAAACAAACAAACAAAAATATACTGAGCTTAAGTCTGGGTGCAGGTTACAAATCTGGAGCATCCGATAGAGATGGAACTTAATACAGTAGCAATAGTCGTGAATCCTTTATTTTGTTTTTGTATTAATCTTAGCTCTCTAAACAGGTACCCAACAGGGATTGGCAGAGCTTACCTTAGTCTGGCACAAGGCCATAGATGTGGGTTTCTTGAGACTAAATTTCCAGACGAGCTATCTATTTCTCTACGGTGAGATGCTTACTGGGTATTTACTAAGGTTAGCCTTGTCCGGAACAAGACTAAAATACTTATTACACAGACTTAATTCTATATATTGTATTCCTTCAAAGTGTTGGCGATCAAGGTTCTCCACAACTTTCTATCCTTTATAAATTTTGTCTTTACAATACATTGTTTTATCATTTCACCCACTAATAGGCAGGGAGGGGGTTACAGAGAGTGAAAGTGGGAGAAAAGACTCTGGGTATAGGGGGAGTGAGGAAAATATAAAAGAAGAACAGGATTCAAAAAGAAAAGAACATAGTGATTGACGTAGCATTTAAATCTTTGAAGATTGTAGTTATCATTGAAGCAAGTAAGAGCAAAGGAATTCCACTGCAGGGAAGTGCGAGAAAAGGGACTGTTGGAGTACAAATGGTGATTACATTTAACTATTTCAACTGTTAAAGGGTGAGACCTAGATGCCAATCTAGTAGCACGCTTAAATTCACGGAGTTAGGTCACCAAGGAAAAAGCTCGTCAGAGCAGTTACAATGAAAATATTTGTAGAAAAGACAGAGGAAACCCACGTCACGTTGGTAAGAAAGTGACTGAAGTCGAGATGCTAAATCAGGATTGATTACATTGCAGATCCTTCCTTGGATTTTGTCAAGAACCTCGAGATGAATAACAGGAGTACCAAAACAGATATGGTAACGGCATTCAATACACAGACGAATGGTAGATTTTCAAATGTGTAAGATAGACTCTGGCGAGAAAAACCTTCTGGCACGTCACAGTGACCCAGTTTTCCTTGCAGTAGATGTAGGTATTGATTCGATGTAGTCGCTCCACTCCAAGTCAGTTGAAAACGTGAGGCGAAGAAGGCGCAGTATGTTGCTTTCCAGGAGTCTAGCATCAGCCATGCTGACAGTGGGGAGGAAAGTTTCTCTATGGTGGTTAAATGAGAGCAGTTTCTTTTTAGGGGCATTAAAATTTACAAGCCATTTCCTGTCTCAGTTAACCACCGATTGGAGGTCCTTTTCAAGAGCAGCTAACAGATTAACTTTGTCATAAATGCTTACTTGGGAACTAATGACATCTGGAAGATCGTTGATGAAGATCAGAATCAGCGTAGGACCCAGGATAGAGCATTGGGGACACTGACGTTCGTGTGAAAGGATCTGGAAGCGAGGTCGTTCAGAACGAACATCATTTCACGATTTGATAGAAACGATTGCTCCTCCTAAACCCTTTCCTCTCATCCATTTACAAGCTCGTTAGCTTGCTTGTGTTGTTTTTCTCTGCCTTCAAAATTTCCCGTGAGTGTTAATTTTTCCAAGCCCTCTTTCCTCATTATGCGCCCTAGAAATTTCAGTTGTATTTTTCTGATGTTAAGTATAAGTTCCCATTTGGTTTCATTTTCTGTACAACGTTGTTATTACTCACATGTTCAGTCTATGGTATTCTCGACACCCTTCGGTTAAACCACATTTCTGCTTCAAGTCTCCTAATATGTGACGAGAATGTCCGGCAGTCATTGCCATATAGAAGGACTGATATTACATAACGGTTCAGTACCTTTTTTTCAGTACGAAAATTTCTTGTTTCTTAATACTTTACTTAGATTTTGGAAGGCATATTTCACATTCATTGGTGGTCGAGTATTGGATTCAATTTTAAATAAAATATTATCTGCTTTGTTATTTAATCCCGGCTCCCTTTCCAAAATCTTATTTCAAAGCCAAACAGGATTTGGCCGATAATCTCTTCTTGGTCGAAACGAGAATCTCTCAGCACCTCCTCTATCCGAAATTTCAATGAATTTGAGCAGATTGAACTGTTTACCGCCTTAGATATCCAGTGTTTCCCACTCTCTATCTCACACAACTCCCGGCATCTATCCACCATGAATTTTCTTTATCAATTTTTTTTCCTATTTCTTTCTACATTCTATTTTCTTGAAATTGGCGCTTAGTCCTTTCTTCTCGCTTTCCTTCGCTTCCTTCTGTAGAATTTCTTGTAGTTCCCTTTCTTTGTCTGCTATCAACGGTGTATCATCTACATATGTCGTTAAGATTGTGGCCGCCAATAATGAATCCTAATAGGGAAATGTATTAACTCCTTAGGCATTAACCCACAGAAAGACGGTAACCTTTTTTCTGTCACGTGCCATGTCCCTTCAGGAAGTAGGCGGTAATAGCTCTCCACAACTTTCTGTCTCTTGTTAGTCTCAGCGACGTTTGACATATTATTATCCCTCTTTATCTCCTTCCGTCATTATCTCTTGTGAGTGTTAAAGTTTACAATTTCTTTTTTCTCGTGTGTCCCAGAAATTTCAACTGTCTCTTTCTAATATTAAGTGTAAGTGTTGTTCATGATGACGGTCGTCTTGAGTAGAGAATCCAGAGGTTAGCAGTGAATATTTCGAAGACAGTAGAAAAGCGTAGTTCATGTTAGCAGTGGATATCCCGGTAAAGTAGCTCTGTTTGACTGACAAGCTGGTACTGGACATTCGGATAGAGTAAACAAAATGGCCGCCTTTATAAACGACGGATTGAATGTTCTACATCTTTTGATTGGTTAACCTTCTATTGGTGGACTATAAAGTGAGTCAAGTCATTTGGGCTAGCTCACTAGTTGCATAATGTATCCAAAAATTGTAACATTTTTCTAGCTCCCATTTTCTTTAGAACTTAATTGATTATATCTTCTATCCTTGGTATACTCAGCATCGTCGTTTAGAATCACATTTCTATTGCCTAAAGTCTTTTCTTCATCTCTAATAAGATTGTCCAGTATTCACTGCTATATAGAACATATATTACATAACAGTTAAGTAATCTTTTATTTATTTCTAAGGAAATATTCTATTGCCTCAAGTGTTTTCTTCATCTGCGATCAGATTGTCCAGCATTCGCTGCCATATAAGAGAACAGATATTACATTTTTTTAAATCATTTCGCCCCAAGCAAAGCAATAAATACACTAAGACACAGAGGTTAATGAGTATAAAAAAAAGAAATAGAAATAACATTATTATGGAGCGAGAACAATAAAAGAGGAATCAAGAAGATAACGATAAAATTTAAATTTAAATTTTTGAAGATCAATGATGACTAGAAATCAAGAAGCCAGAAGAGATATCCACAGAGATATACACTGAGCCAGTTTCCAGTTTTAACATGTTAAATTGGCTCAGTTTATCCCCGAAAATTTAAACTGAAGATGACTGGCGATTGGGGATAAGACAAAACTGAAAGAAAATCAAGGATATAATCAGGAAAAAATAAACGATTTTTCAAATTATGAAGATAAGAATAACGATTTTGTTGTAAGCATAGCTGAACTTGGCTATTTTGTTTTGTATTTTTTTTTTACAAAACGTAAGGATTTCCTTAAATTTGAATAAGAATAAGTATTGGTTGGACAGACAAAGACGGCAATACGATAATCATTAAGGCCTATTGATAACAATTACAAAGATCTTATTCAATAATTTCAACTTGTTAAAATTAAAAAAAAAATGAACTTAAGATAGAAGAACGAATGTAAAATTGACAAAGTAAAAAAGAATTCTGAAAATGATCCTTCAACGATATAAGTAACAATAGATAATAAACATTGTAAATATAGAAAGCCATTTAATTGAATTTTTAAGTTTCCTGTTTCAAAAATATATAGGATCATTATTTTATTCTACAGGATTTTTTTAAAATTGATTAGCAACAACATTTCATGTGCATTCTTTGAAATTCTGGAATGCGGTCTTATTCAGTGAATCATTCGGTCTAGCATCTTCACATTTGTTGGTTTTTAGGGATATTTTCCAGACGTGACTTTATGTGAATTTCCAAGTATTGTTTTAATTTGTGTAATTAAATTTGTCATTTAATATATTGTCCTCAACTTTTCTTTCTTGAACACTAACTTCTGGTGTAGATTAACTTTTTTAGCGTATTTGTGTATTCTTTGCTCTTACTAACAACTCCTGAAGTTTGGGCATAAATAGATTCATTGTTTCAAATATTATCCTCATCTTTGTTGTTTTGATCACTACCTTT